TGAGCTGAGTCTCAAAGCGGTAAGGTGTAGGGGTTAGCCAGGAGAGAAGGGGGAGAGGGCATTCCCAGGGAACACGAGTACACGGTCACATGCATGGAAAGCACGTGGGGCGTGGAGCACACACTGCCCTGTTGGTGCCCCACCTGAGGGGAGGGCTGGGGTGGTAGGAGGTGAGAAGGGGAAAGGCAGCCAGACCCAGGCCCACAGACCCTTGCATGCCAAGCTGAGGAATTGGAATGCCACTCAAGGCCATGGGGAGTCATTGGAGGCCCCTCAGCAGAGGAGGGCTGGAGCAGATGCAAGGTTTCAGAAGCTCACTGTGGCAGCAGCTGGAGGGTGGACAGGGGACCGAGCAGAGGGACCCACGGGCCTCTGTCCACCATGATCCAGGCAGGTGGTAGCACAGGCCTGGGCTGAACCACATCCAGGAGATGTCAAAGAGGGCTGGATATCAGGGCCATTGAGGAGATGGACCCTCAGGACTTCGTGGCAGATGGGATGAGGCCTTGTGGGGAGAGAGGAATCGAGAATGACATCCAGGATCTGGTTTGGGTGGCCGGCTGGGTGGAGGCACCATTCTCTGAGTTGAGGGGCCCTGACGGAGGAATACCTTGGGGAGTTAGACAGAGAGCTCATCAAGGGATGTCGAGTTAGAGATGTTGTGAGGCCTCCAGGTGGAGGTGTTGAGTAGAGAAAGGATTCTGGGCTCAGAAGTGAGGTCTGAGTAGGAGATGAAGTGTGGGGGTTGTGAGCTGAGAGATTGTGGGTGTGGATGGGAGATGGTCGAGATGAGGGCCCTGAGGGACCCCATATGGAAGGAGGGGCAGGAGACGAGGCTCTGAGGAGCGAGACCAGAGCAGCAGAGAAGGGAGGAAGGCTGGGTGAGGGCAGGCCTCCAGGAGACAAGAGGAGAGCAGGAGGCAGGTGGGGTCTTTGCCACCGGACATCAGGGCCGGGGCTTTGCTGCTCAGGTGTAGCAGTTGGCACAAGTAGGGGACCGTGGGCTTGGCCAAGACAGTGTTGAGGAGGTGGAGCCAGGGGGCTGGACAGACTCAGGGTGCAGCCGGGAGACCTCCCTGACCACTCCTGGCACAACGACTCCCTCTCCAGTGCTCTCACAGCTATCTCCACACGGCATCTCAGACAAACGGTCTCCTCTCTGACAGATACCTTCCCAAGAGCAGATATTGGCAAATACAAGGTGCTCAGAAAACTCGTTACCTGACAGGGCAGATGAGAACTGGGAAGCAGGCCACTCTTGTCAAATGATACCAGCATATCCATCTGCAGTAGAAAATGCTCTGGGAGGTTACCTTCTGGGCAGGAGCTGAGGGAGAAAGGAAATGGGGTTTCTCTCTGGCCCTAGCAACGCAGGGAGTTGATCTCTCAGTGCCTCAGTGTTTTTACCTGCTCTCCCGAGGGTAGAATACAAATGTGCATGGCAGTACTACAAATGTCTGCTCCTAAGTGGGGAAGCCAGGAATAAGGAAGGGCCTGACTGCCTCCCCGGAGTCAGCATTCGCTGGGCCCCACGGCCCGGTGGTCTGGGATTCTTGAGGCTGGCCCTTGGCTGCCACTAGACCTGGGTCTGCCCCCTGCCTCCCTCGGGTGATGCGCCTCGTGGGCAGATTCTTGGCACACATTTGGGAAGGGAGAACAGTGGTTCACTCTGGAAAGAAGCCCACTCCTTTTGCTCTGCTCCTGTTCATTAGTAGTTCAAGCAGCAGATTTCTGGGCTCAGGAGGCCATCTGCGGCTGCCAGGGACACTGCCTGCCAACTCAGGACCTTCCCAATTGGTGCTGACACAGGACTGAGGGAATGACAATCTGCCTGGCACCCCTTGGGTGGTCCTCCAAAGGGTGGGCTTTGGGGAACTGGTGGGCCTTCCACCTGTGGACTTGCTCCCACGAAGAACTCATAAAAGGGCCATCTTCAGAGTCCTTTCATTTCTCATAACTGTCCCAGCACAAATCCTGGGCATGGCAGGGCACAGCTCAGGGGTTGGTGCTGATGGTGACCCTGAAACGTCAAGACTGAGTGAGTCACATGTGTGGCAGGAAGCCAAGGCTCAGGGATGGTGTGTGACATTTCCATCCTTCCTCGGGACTCTGCAAGACTCCACCCCAGTCAGGCCTGTGGCTCCATCCCCCGCATTTTCCTCAGAGGGCTGGTGCTGGCTCTCACGCCCAGACACAGGTCCGCTCTCTGAGGAGGGTCCCTCCCATCTCAGACCCCCGGGTCCTCAGGGGACCTCTCGGCCCTTTTAGGATCAAGCCTCAGTGGTCAGACTCTGTCTTGCTTGGAAGAAGGAGGCCTGGCTGGCTGCCACTGCACATTGGCCTGGGTGATGCAACATGGACGTGCCAGCCGGAGAAGAGCAGGCCCAGCAGAGGCCCTTCCTCCAGACCATCGATTCTCTTCAATCCTGGCTTCCGTGGCCAGGTCCCTGCTGGAAACTAGCAGTACACCAGAGTATATCAAGTTGTCTTCCTTCCCAGAGGGGGGCCAGGGAGCTCCCACTGGAACAACAGCACCTCCACATGCCAGGCCACATTGCCCAGTGAGCATGGACCTCTAGATGGGCCTGGCTGGGTGCAGTGGCTGCCTACAGAGAGAGAGTTTGATGGAGAGAGAACCACCCCTCTGCCTTCCAGGCTGGCCCAGGGTGGACAGTGTAGGCTGGGCCAGGGCCTAGAGGGAGCCAGGGCCCTGGAGAGCTGTACCTGAAAGTTAAACATGACCCCAGACCACCAGGTGCTTGCTCTGGGCCCAGAATGCTGAGGGGGACATGGCTGGAATGGCGATAAGCATCACTGCCCAGGGTTGGGATGCAGAAGAGAGAGCCCACGGCTAATTGGGATCAGCACCATCAGCACAGGCCCAGGGAGACGTGAGCACCATTTCAGGACAGGGACTGGATGGGAAAGCACGGGGGGCAGGGAGGGATGAGAGGTGTGTGGGGAGAGGTCAGAGAGGACAAGAGCAAGCTTGAGGTTGGCCCTAGAAGCACTCTACCCCTCATGGCTGTGGGGATGGTAATCCCTGAGCGGATAGGATCTCATCTACCCTCTGAGAACCTCGGTCTCCTCATCTCTGTTTCACAGGTGAGCACACACAGGGTCCCACCAGAGAAACAGAATGAGTAGGAGATATATATATTCTTCATAATTGTGGGTCTGGCTGGGCAAGTCTGAAATCTGGAGGGCAGGCTGGCAGGCTGGAAATGCTTAGGCGGGAGGTGACAACGCAGTCCACAGGAGGAATTTCTTCTTCCTCAGGAACACCTCCATTTTGCTCTTACAGTCTTTCAACTGATTGGATGGAGCCCATCTGGACTATCAAGGGTAAGGTCCCTAGAGTCAACTAGTTGTGTAGTCAGCCACATCTACAAAATGCCTTCACAGCAACACCTAGATTAGTGTTTGATTGACTCACTGGAGACAGTCACTCAGCCAAGCTGACACATGAAACTGACCATCAGTGGGGGTGATCCTGGGACCTGCTCACAGCTGCTGTGAGAAGGAAGTGGGACGGTGTGTGAAGGCCTCAGCATAGAGATGGAGACATCCTCGGGGCAAAGCAGCCTTGGCAGCCATTTGCTTGTCTGGAGCGTGTGGGGAGAGAGGCAGAGGTGCGAGTTTGGGGGTGGGAGGAAGTGTTTCAGCCAAGGTGGCAGAACCAGGGTTGGGGGCTGCTTGGGCCTGCTTGTCTGCAGAGGGAGGGGGGCTCGCCCAGAAAGCCTGGGGCTGTGGGGTGGGGCAGAGATCAGTGGCTTCTGGGAACTGCAAGGCAGGCACTTCCAGATGCACAGCGCACTACCTGGCCCAGGCAGCTCTTAGAGGAAATTTCCAGCCTAGCCTCACCCCTCCTGAAGGCCTGGCAGGCTGAGAACAGGGCTCTGGAAATCTCCACCTGGTGGGGTGCCCTCAGCAGGGGGACGGGTGCCCTCAGCAGGGGGCGCTGCAGGACCTTCATTTCTGGGTAGGGTCTCCCCGAGGCCCTCCACTGTCACCACCAGGTGTTTGAGAATAAGCTCAAATCTGTCCTCACACAGCTTAGCCTGTAACTCAGGTGTGACAACTTTCATCTCCTAATTTGGGCCAGTTTTCTAAAAGATTAAAATCTATGTGATATATATACACACACACACACACACACTCATTATATACACTAAACATACAACCATTTTCCTCACCTAGGCATGGGGATGATCAGGACCCCGCCTCACAGGAATGCTGTTTGGAGGAAGCCCAGTGCAGTGAGCAGGGCATGATTTAAGGGTTCAGGAAATGTTGGACATTATTAACAGCTAATATTTATTTAGATCCGGCTTAGCCTACACAGTTATTCATCAATAGATAGGGTTCTGAAACCTGGGGGCTACTGAGAGGTGTGGGGAGTGAGGCCAGGGAAGAGTTCCTAACCTCTAGAACTGCCATGGAAATGGTCCTGGGTATTTTATAGCGAAACTGTCCAGGGCTTTCAATCAGTTCCTCAAAGATAAGAACTTCTGGTTTATTTGACAGTTGAATTACTTCAGCGCTGTTTTAGCTTAAAAGAGGATGTGTCCTCACAGGTAAATAATCCTATCAAGGAGGTGTTTGTAATCAAGTATTTCCCGATCTTGGAGAATGCCTTCCTTCCTCCCTCTTGTAATGAATTTTGCAAAAATGTCCCTGAAATTATTTTCAGTGTCGGAGGCGGTGTGAACAATTACATGCACGGGGCGGGGTCTTTCGCCTCGAGCAGCTGAGGCTCCGCAGTTGGCAAGGGAGAGGACGACGGGGGAAGGGAGAGCTAAGGGAATTCTCTCGGTGGCCCTTGCGCCACCAGTCTGGGACGTGCGGCGTGGAGCGCACCTCACCCAGCCCGAGTGCTGCGCCTTTAAGGTCCACGGGGGGCGTGATGCCAGCTGCCCGCGGGCTCTTGGAGAGGTGAGAGGCAGCCCGCGCGCGGTGACTCGGAGACAGGGTTGGAGTGTGCTCCGAGTCTCCGACTTTCTTGCTCTGGCGCGCTCTGGCCGGCGGGCCACGCCTCGCCGATTCTGAATGGGCACTGACCCTGCTCCGGGAGGGCGAGGCGCCGCGGCACCGGCCATGAGCAGCTTCCAGCTGGAAGACTTTGCGGCTGGCTGGATCGGAGGTGAGCGTGTTTACGGGGTACCCCAGAGGTGAGTGTGCTTACGGGAGACCCCCGGGCCAGAGAGAGAAAGCCTCGCAGAGCGCCGCGCGGGCCGAGTTTACACACGGTGCCCTGGTCGGGGAGCCCCTCGCCGGTGCGCTCCCAACACGCGCCCCGGCGTGCGCGGCGCCGGCTGCGGCGAGTGCCCGACGCCCCGGCGCACGGGTGGTCTTGCTGTTCCTCGCCTGCTGCCGGAGCTGAACTCCGCGAGTCACACACAGATTCACCCTGCGCTTCCAATTTGCCTCCAAGTTAGAATCCGCGGAACTTGATCCCGTAATGATTAAACCGCCGGTCAAAGCCGGCAGCCAATGAAGCGTCCAGGCACGTACACACCCGTGGGTGACCGAGTGCGCACCTGAATTTCGAGACGTAGCTCGCAGGAATTTGTGTGTGAGGGTGCCGCTTGGCCGCTGGCCCTCGGGCGCGGGATGGGGAGGCCGACTTCGTGATCAGGCCGGCCCTAGGGGGCGCCCCGGCCGGAGGGAGCCCAGCGCGCAGAGCTGGGAGCCGAGCGCCAGGCTGCAGGTACCAATTGCCAGATAGGAGGAACCTTCCTGTGTTCAGCCGCTGTCAACTGTCAGGCCTCTCCTCCGGGCACTGTTGGGCCCATTGGTCCCCTCGTACCGCTCCCGGAGCCTCCCTGCTGGGCCCGGGGTGGGTTTGCTTAGGCAAGAGTTGCATCCGTTACCTTGCTTCTCCATTCTTCTCTTCCGAATCGGTCTGTCCTTCTCTTTTCTCAGCTATTGGTGGAAGTTGGGGGGGAGGGTTGAGGGACTTTACTTACTGTAAAATATTATCTTCCCTTTGACCCCATCTTTAAGAAGATCGTCAGAAAAAGGAGTTGGCAAACGCAGCCCCTCCCCAAAGACAAAATAAAATACTGAGCTGCTGAGGCAGAGGCTATGGCTAGCGTGTTTGTGCCCCATCAAGTGTTCTAGGTATGGAGGAGACCAGGAGATTTTTAAGAAAAGGAAACAAAAAACAAAGAGCCACAAGCCAGAGAGCACCCCAGGATCCCCTTCTGGTGGCCCCTACCATCTAGCAGGAGTCCACCTCTTTCCCCCGCCGGTGGCTGCAGGGCCCCTGCTTCTCACTGTCCTGAGTAGAGGCGATTCTTTCACGGTGGGCAGTTCTATTGGCACAGGCTCTCTTGTGTGGGCTGAGACCTGCCTCTCCTAACTTTCCCAGTCAGGGGACTGTACCCAGAGGCCCACTGGGCATATCCAGGCTCCCTTTGGACGACCCTTCAGCCATTCAGAGGGAGATCCTTCCCTCAGCTGTCAGCTTAAATAGCCAGACCAGCTTCAGTAGGGCTGCCAGGGGCTTGGTTCGAGAAAAGCCCTGGAGGGTAAGGCTGTCAGAGTAGCTCAGAGTCTCTGAGGATACAGAGACCCTCCCTCCCCAGTTCACACAGCAAGTAGTGGATTATCCTTTATTCTGAGATTGTCTACTTTGTTCATGTTAACGTCTTTTTTTTTGCGTCCATGAAATGAGGATGAGTGTAGTAACAGTGAATAATTGGTAGGTACCAGGTGCTGTTTAAGTGCTACAGTATATTTTAAAAACAACTTTATTGAGGTTATTTTACATATCGTAAAATTTACCCATTTCAAGTGTACAATTCTATGTTTTTTAGTAACTTTACTAAGTTGTGCAACCATTACTGTAAATTAGTTTTACAACATTTTCACCCCCCAGTGAGATCCCTCATGCCCATTTACAGTTAAACCCTATCCTCTCCATCTCCCTCTGAGCAACCACTAATCTGCTTTCTGTCTCTATGGATTTCCCTGTTCTGGATAATTCATATAAATGGAATCACACAATATGTGACCTCTTTTGTCTGGGCCTCTTCCACTTAGCATGTTTTCAACATTTATCCACACTGCAGCATGTATGAGTACTTCATTCCTAGTTACATCTAATAATATCCCATTGTATGGATATACCCCATTTTATTTATCCCTTCATCCAGCCTGGACGTTGGGCTGGTTCCACCCTCCGGCGAGTGTGACTAGTGCTGCTGTGACCATGCGTGTACATGAACTTGTTTGGGTGCTTGTTTTCAGTTCTTTTAGGTATATATCTAGGAGTGGAATTGCTGGGTCATATGGTAACTCTGTGTTTAACTTGGTGAGGAACTGCCAAACCGTTTTCCACAGCAGTTGGACCATTTTACATTCCTACCAGCAATGTACAAGGTTCCAATTTCTCCATATTCTTGCTAATACCAGTTATTTTCCTTTTTTTTTATTATAGCCATCCTAGTAGGTGTAAAGGGGAATCTCATTGTGATTTTGATGTACATTTCCCTAATGACTAATGATGTTGAGCCTCTTTTCATGTACTCATTGGCCGTTAGGGTATCTTCTTTGGAGAAATGTCTATTCAAGTCCTTTGGCCATTAAAAAAAATTTTTTTTTAGTTGTAAGAATTCTTTATATATTTTAGATACTAGCCCTTACCAAATATATGATTTGCAAATATTTCCCCTCATTCTATTGGTTGTCTTTACTTTCTTAATAGTGTCCTGTGATGACAAAAGTTTTTAATTTTTATGATATCCAATTTGTCTATTTTTTTCTTTTGTTACTTGTGTTAACAATTTCTTGCAAATCTAAGGACATGAAGATTTCTCCTTATGTTTCAGTATATGATTTTTATAGTTTTAATACTTCCATTTAGGTTGTTGGTCTATTTTGAGTTAATTTTTGTATATGGTGTGAGGTAGGGGGTCTAACTTTATTCTTTTGCATGTGGATACCCAGTTGTCCCAGCACCTTCACCTCCCTTTTTTGGGATGCTTGTTTCTTGAGGCAGGGCCCAGGTCTTACTCCATTTTCTCTGCTTTCCTTGGTGCCTGGGCTAGTGCCTAGCACATTAGGGGTCTCCTCTGGTGACTGGCCATTGACTGAATAAGTGAATGTAAGTGTCTGAGCCCTCTGTCCTGTCCCAAGAGCCAGCTGGTGCAAGCTAGGAGTCCAGGGGCTGAGTGACCAGGTATTCTTCCATCCACAGGTGCAGCCAGTGTCATTGTTGGCCACCCTCTGGACACAGTCAAGGTACGGTTGTTGTGTTTGCCATTACCTCTTGGAAAGGGGCCTGGAGTGAGCCCACCTCCAGGAATGTGCCTGCTGTTTCTGATCCCCAGAGAGTCTCCAGCCCAGGGCCGGCTCTTGCGCCAGCCCATGGGGGTGGGGTACCAGGATGCCTGGTTTGGAATGGCTCTGCCCTCATTACTTGGCAATGATTTTGTTTTTGTGAATGTCTCATTTCTGCCTCCAGGTTCTCAGGAGCTGCGGGGTGGGGGGGGAGGGGCGGCGGGGAGCAGGGCCCTAGTGAGTGTCCTCGAGACTAAGGAACCAGAAAAGGCTTCAAGTGTGAGGCAGCATCAGAGCCCAAAATTTAGGGTTGAGTTTCAGGTGATTAGAAAGCATATTCCAGGCACAGAGAACAGCACGGGCAAAGGCACTGAGGTGAGGACACTGGGTGGAGGCCATGCTTGGGAAAGGCCAGCAGGCCAGTTTTGCTGATGCATCAGGTCTCTGACAGCAGCTACGGATGCGAATCCAGGAAAGGGAGTCAGCACTCAATCCTCAGAGGCCTTGAATATCAGGTTAGGACTCTGGACTAAGTTTGGAAACGGGAAGCCATTATAACTTGATGAGGCATGTGGGGTGTGAGGACTCGGAGCCAGCGGGGACATCTGGCATTGGAATCATCCAAGCCCCTTGTTCTACAGATGTAGAAACTGGCCCAGAAAGGGGAAGGGGCTTGCCTCAGGTCATACAAGTTAAAGCATTGCTGAGTGAGATGCTACAAAGGGACATTCTTTGACCCCACTCCCACCCCTGCCACCTGTCCCCAGGGTGAGCAAGACCCTGAGAACATGGACATGAATAGTGCCCCCCAACCCCGACTTCCCGATCCATCTCTAAAGCTCTGCATGGATCGTGCACAAAGAGGAGCCGCTCAGTCCCCTCTCAGATGGCTGCTGCAATCTCCTTTCTCCCGTCTTCCTCCGTGTGTGACAACAGGCCCCCTCCTAGGTCAGGGCCCGGGCCTGCTCTCTTCTTGATGGGGAGGTCAGCCTACTTGCCTTAAATGTTGAAGACACTTCCTGGCTCCTTGTGTCCCTCGTATGGGCCCTGCCTTCTGCTCATACATCAAACGCATACTTGGACATTCTCTGTGCAGGTGCTCTGGGGATGCCAGGACATCGGTGATGGACAAAGCAAATCCAATCCCCATCCCTGTAGGCCTTCCAGCCACGTTTTCTGACACAGGTGACCTCTGTGTCTCCCTGGTAGTGTCCTTTCCTCACCTCTAGCCTAACCAGGGGCTGGTGGAGTCCCCCACCCTTGTACAGGCAAGTCTGCCCACCCCAGGCCTGGCCACGTGTCACCTGAAAAGGCTGGGGCTCTCCTCCTTCTCTCCTCTCTGCCCCCTAAGCCTCTGGAGGGAACCCTTCCTGGTACATAAAATCTAGTCTCTGCTCAGCCTGAGAACCTCCCCACTGAGGGTTCCAGCCTGGTGATGCCAGCTACATGGGTGGCCTCTAGTCCAGCCAGGGGCTGTGGGCCAGGGCCCTTGTTTTTCTCCAGAACACCTTCCTTCCTTCTGGCTGACGTTCTCTCTAGAGTCCCTGTCTGCTAGAGAAATGTCCGGGCAAGAGCTTCAGAGTCAGAATAACCTGAAGTCCAGTCCCAGCCTCCCCACCCACTGTGGGGCAGGGCACAGCACTTAACCTCCTTGAGCCTTGGTTTCCTGATCTGTAAAATGGGCAAAGAGCACCTCCCCAGCAGGGCTGTCATGAAGATTGTCACTGTGACACCAAGGATAGAGCAATAAGCAAGCCATTCCTGTCCTGATGAACACACATGCTGGGGTGTGGGGAGACAGACAAATAACTCATTCGAGTTCCCAGGGCTCACCCGTGGAAGAGCCAAACTAAAAGGACCCAGGCTGCTGACCCAGGTCAAAGGCTCCTTCCCCTGCCTGCAGCCACCTCGTCACTGGTGGGAGAGCCAGCCACTGGCTGCTTAGTGGCAGTGGAGCTGGAGTCAGGATTCTTACCTGGCTCCGGGCACAGCTGGTGCATTTAGGGTTTGTGCCTGATACAGTGTGACCAGGGTTTTCTACTTAGGGCTCAGCTGCCTTTAGACCAGCTAGACTGTAAGGGAATAAATTTGCATTGTCTTAAGCCACTAAATTTGTCATAATTTGTTACAGCAGCAGTAGGAAACTAATACAGGGAATCAGCTTTGTTCATCTGTAAAGTGGGGTAGTATCCATGCTGCATAGCATTTGTGGGCTTCAGTGACATAAGAGCTATAAGATGCCCAGTGTTTCCCCAAGTATGCAGTTGGTGCACACTAAATGCCAGCTCCTGTTGTAACTGGAGGCCCTGGAGGCTTGAGCCGTGCTGCTGGCCTCCGTGGCAGCCTCCCCGAGTGCTCTGCATGCCTGGCAGACCTTTGCTCTGTGGCTTTGAGACTCTTCTGTGATCTGGGTTTGGCTCTCGGGTTGAGTTTCCTCATGTACCATTTGCTTGAGTGACTCGACCACTCAGCCTTCTTAGTGGGAACTCGATCCCTCCTGGGGCTCAAACATTTCGTGGATTCACTACCCACGACACAGCTGGGATCAGCGAGGGAGAGCATGCAGCCTCATGCCAACCCTAAATGGCGCAGAGAGAGAGGCCTGTGCCCCACCTTTCCTGGCCCACGCCCTTGTCCTGGTTGGGGATACCCCACTCCAGGGTAGACATCTGTGGTTCTGCTCAACAAGAGGACCATGAAGGCCCAGGTCTCATCTTGCTGCATCTTCCAGTGTGTCTTCCCCACCACCTGATTTAAAATTGCATTTTCCTTCCCCACCACCCAGCTTTTCTGATCCTTGGGTTATTTTTCTCTGTGGCACTTGTTATCATCTGACATATATGCTTACGTGGGAATTACTTTTTATTGACGGCTTTTTCTGACCCCACTCGGTGGTAAGTTCCATGAGTGCAGGGAGTTCGTTTTTTCTGCTGAATTCCCTGAGATTGGAACACTGACTGCTAGAAATATGCACCCAATCAATATCAGTGGAGTGAGGCAATAAGTATATTTCTCTGATTGTGAAAGCAATACTTATGAACAGTGTGACACCATTTATGTATCAGACCTATGAGATGCTACATCTTTTTTCTGGCTATCTATGTTTATAAAACACTTCAGATGAATGCCTATCAAACCATTAGCCAGGCTGTTAGCTGCGGTCATTAGCTCAGTGGAGGGGAGCGGGGAATGAGAGGGGTGGGCAAAGGAGACTTTAGCTTTACATGTAATGCTGACTTTTTTTATTAAGAGAATATATTCCCATATTATTTATGTACTTAAAATTATTTTTTAAATTATATAAGCTAAAAATAATGAAGGCAACCCCTTCTTATTGTAGTAAAGTTGGAAAATGAAGAAGTTCAAAGCAGAAAAACATCACCCGTGGTTTTCACCTCGGAGACCATCACTTTTATGATTTCATGTTCCTCCAGAGTCTTCCCCACTTGTCCACAGATGGAGCTCAGGCTGTTAGTGTGGAGAGTTAGTCTGCACACTGGGTCTTGGGTCCTCACGGGACTCTGGATTCTGGGGGGGAGGGTCCAGATCTCCTCCTGTGTGGCTCTCATGGCTTCTTCCTATCAGACACAGCACATTGTGGGTGCTGAGAAACTGTTTTGTTGGAGAGTTATAGGCTGCACATCTTAAAAGAAGTGGAACCCTCTAGGACCTGGGCACTTTTGTGGGCTTACTCAGACCCTCTATGCCTGTCAACTGCTGCCCCTGGTCACCAGATCCAGCCTCCGTTAAGGACACCACACCTTTGCCATCCAGCCCTTCATTCAGCCAGTTTCAAGGGGCTGAGTGCCAGGGTCCTGCTTGGCCCCAGGGATGAGAGGGAAGTATGAGATGGCCCAGCCCCAGAAAGGGAGCCCAAATAAAACCTAAGTAAACAGACAAACAGATGACACCATTGCAACATTTAAGCTCAGACCCAAAAGTTGAGCAGGAGCTGGAGAAAGAGCCTTCCAGAGGGGGAATGCAGGTGGAAAGTTCTGGAGGCAGGAAAGAACTGATGCTCTGGGGACTTGGGAATGTGCCACGTGGCTGGTGCAGAGGGCAGGGGCATGAAGGAAATGGCATGCGACGGTGAGAGGCAGGCTCAGGCGCTCACCCAGGACCTCCTGGGTGCTGGTAAAGAGTGTGGAATTTATTCTGCATTTGATGGGAGGCCACTGCAGAGCTTTAAACAGTGACGTGATTCATCGTTGTTTGGAAAAGGTCAGTCTGACTGTTGTGTAGACACGGGCGAAGGAGTGAGGGGGAAGTAGGAGGCCAGCAAGGAGACCGGCCCATCGTCCAGGTGAGAGATGAAAGGGTTCGGGAAGTGAGAAGAGCAGGTTGCTCCCAGGAATATTTAGGAGGACAGAGTGATGGACAGCAGAAGGGACAGAACCATGGCTTAGCTTTTTGTCCTCAAGAGGCAGGGACCATATGTCTCTTCACAAGCATTGTTTTTGCACAACAAACCAGCCTTTGTTCTTCTCTCAGCCCGAGAGGGCTTCTGCTGCCTTTAGCAAGGTCTGAACGGGGACATTGAGGGAGGCAGTGCAGGTAGAGGACAGAGGGCCAGCCTGGCCAGGACTGAAACCCAGACCTCCTTACTGAAGGGTCATCCCCTCTCTGGGCCTCGGTGTTGGAGGCTCAGCATCTTGCGGACAGTGGGGATGTGAATCTTCTCTGCTCGGGCCCTCACCCCTTGCCTCTCTCCGCAGACTCGCCTGCAGGCCGGCATTGGCTACGGAAATACCCTCAGCTGCATCCGTACCGTGTACAGGAGGGAGAGTGTAAGTGCTCCTCAGTGGGCGGTGGAGCCGCACCCGCCAGGGCCTCCCACCAAACGGGGCAAAGCTCCCCCGGGCCAGGGGACCACGGCCACCGCGCTCACACCAGCACGTCGGGGAGGAGGCCTGTTCATTACTGCTCATCATGTTTGGCTCAATTTTCCCTACTCCTCTCACACCACTCCTCAAATGTTATATGTTACCCAAACTTAACCCTGCCACCCACTGTGATGTTATTGGGGAAAAAAACTGGTTTTGTGTAACCTCTCTGGACAAATTCTGTGGAATTTAGAACCACAGTGTGGAAAATTCCTGCAAAAACAGGGTGACCTGTCAGTTGCTCAAAACCAAGTGAGTGGCCAGTAAACCACATGCTCACAGGCTTCTCTTTATCCGGGTGAGGCGGGAGCCAGGCGCTTCTCATTCCAGACGCCCGGAGCTGGCTTGTACTGCGGTCGCTCAAGACCCTGGGACCCAAGGGTTTTCTTTGTAAGTGGGAAAATCTGCATAATATTTTGTAGAAGACCATCAAGTGTCTTTCCTGAGAATAGCGTGTGCTTTCAGAAGACCTTCTAAGGCCCCTCTGTAGAGAATTTAAAATAAATTTTCAAATTTAGGGTGAAATGACCTGTTGATTTAGAGAAGTGATCAAGTGTAACCCCCATGGCAGCGCAAGGCTTTTCCTTGAGTCACCAGAAATGTGGCCCCATTGTTGACTGCTGCTTCCACCAGGATCCATCCTGGGAAGTGCCCTGGAGCTCTGGAGCCTCCTGCGGTACCTGGAGTTTCTCCTCAGATGAAGTGTGCCTTGTGTCAGAGTGTTGTTCTAACTCTCTTGATCAGCTGCTTTAAAATTGGGGCGAGCACTGCAAACCTAGTACTAGCTGCGCCTGGGTGATGTGGATTCCTCAGTCCCCTGAAAGGCGGCCGTTGGTTCTCCTCTTTGGCACACGTTCCCAGCGCTGTCTGCCAGCCCTCATCCCTGCTGTGGGAATCGTGGGTGTTCCTCTGAGACACGGCAGCTCAGGGCTAAGCGATGGCCCCAGTTATCTGAGGGAGCCTGTTGTAGAGGAAGAGCCTCAAGCAGGATGTGTGTGTGTGTGTGTGTGTGTGTGTGTGTGTGTGTCTGTGTGAGGGGTCCTGCCTCTGGCAAATAGGGTTCATGCACGAAGGTCAGGATTAGCAGGTTCGCGTACAGCCTGCAGTTTGTACCACGACTTCCTAGTACTTTTTCATCTTTGGCATGGGGCTAAAACATGTGTGCTGCTCTGAGTCCTCCAAGAGCCTGTGGGATTTTCCAGTTTCAGCAGAGCGTCTCTGGTGTTCACTGAGAATGCGGTGTGGAAAGAACCCTGACCTCAGCCTCCAGCACCCTCTCCTCAGCCTCCTGCATCCTGTGTATGTGCAGAAGCCTCTTGGTGCCATCCTTCCGGGGGCTCCCTCTCCAGCTATTCTGCCAAGAGACGCCCATGCTCAGGGGCACCATCTACAGGGGCTGTGGGACCCTCTTCTTAGCCCCTCACCACAGGCTTAGCCCATTGTATTTTAATTGCCTGTCAATTTGTCTTTACCTGTCCCTCTCCCCTTCCCTGTCCCCAGACCCTGAGCTCAGTGAGGGTGGAGAGTGTTTCTTTCTTATTGTTGTCCCCCAGGGCCTGGCACATGACAAGTGCCCGGAGGATGCTTTTGTTGGAGGTAACTGAGGAGGGGGTGTGTGTGGTGCTTGGCAAGCCCACTACCCTTTAAGGCTCCGCAGGCTCCCACGGGCTCATCCATAGCCTCTCCTTCGGCCACAGCCTGATTTCTTTCCAGCCCAAGAACACTGCCACTCTGGTGGCAAATACAGGTTCCAGGCCCAGCATACCACCGCTCAGGAAACAAAACTTCACGCAGAAGTGGTTTCTCCAAGGCAAGAACGTGCTCCCCTGAGGGAGAGCAGCCCTTCACCCGCCCCGTCTCTCCCATCACGTCAGCATCTTCTTTTATTCTCCTCACTGACATACTGGTTTACTTCTTCTGTGGTGTCACTGCACCAGCCTGCAGGCCCCAGTCTGTGCCGAGGGCAGCCTGGCAAGCTTGGCGCCTGCCTGCAGACAGCCCTGGGCCCTCATGCTTCCTCCCACTGGGTTTCCCCACAGGTGTTCGGCTTCTTCAAGGGCATGTCCTTCCCCCTCGCCAGCATCGCCGTCTACAACTCGGTGGTGTTTGGGGTCTTCAGTAACACGCAGAGGTTCCTCAGCTGGCACCACTGCAGGGAGCCTGAGGCCAGCCCGTCCCGCACCCTGTCTGACCTGCTGCTGGCCAGCATGGTGGCCGGTGTGGTCTCTGTGGGGCTGGGCGCGCCCGTGGACCTCATCAAGATCCGGCTGCAGATGCAAACACAGCCATTTCAGGAAGGTAAGAGGCAGGGCGAGGGGGACTGGTGTCTGGGGCCCTGTGACCCTTTCCTGGTTCGCTGGATCTGGGATACGGTCGTTGACATCTTTTTCATTGAGCAAGGCATCTATGTTGTCATGTAATAGTCTGTAATTGTTATTATTTCATCCATAGTAGTGACTGTCATTGGTTAAATATTCACTATGTGCCGGGCACCTGCGAAGAGCTCTACGTATGTTCTCCTAATTCCTCTTCATAACAATTCTGGGAGGCAGGTGCTGTTATGATTTCCGGAGGAGAAAACAGAGGCTCCCAGAGGTTAAGATACTTACTCAACGAAACACAATTAATGACCGGCCAGTGGGGACCAGCTACATAGTTTGCCGCCCCCAGTACAAAAGGAAAATGCAGGATCCCTTGTTCAAAAATTATTAAGAACTGTAAAAGAGCAAGAGCAGAGCATTAAATCAAGCATGGGGCCCCGTGTGACTGCCCCACCCGCCGGGAACAGCCGGGGAGGCCTAGCACCTGGGCTGGCCGCAGGGGCGTGAGGGGGCCACTCCTCTTCAACCTCGCCTGCTCCTCACCCTGATGGTCCAGTTAGAGCTTCATTTCTTGGTGTGCTGCGTAGCTACTCCTGCACCACAGGCTGCATCTGTCATTTCCTCCCTGCCGGGAAGGAGCTTCTGTGTCTTCCTGGGAGTGGTCTTGAGCAACGAGAATGGAAAGAAAAGGATGGTACTTGCTCTGCAGAGTAGAAAGTGCCAACTGTGGAGGAAGGCCGAGCTAGGGGTCTTAGAAGACAAATTTCAATACCTTAGGGTTTGGTTCCTGGCTCTAATGTCACTCTGTCTCCTCAGGAAAGATACTGTCCCTTCCTGGACCTCAGTCTCCTTTTCTGTATAATGGAAGGGCTGGACCATGCTCCTTCCTGTCACCTCAGATATCTGATTGAGGCTGACAGGCCTCGTGGCTAGACACCTCTCCCTGACAGCCTTCTGCATGGCCTCCCTGTGACCCCTCTGTCCACAGATGCTGGGACTCAGCTGTGCCCACAGCCAAAGCCCCCAGAGCTCCTCGGGAGCATCCCAGCCTGGTGCCTCTCCTACCCCAGCCCCTTGATTCAGCCTATGCTCCCTGCCCAGCCCAGGAGGTGTCCAGGACAGGGCTGCACATCCCCTGAGCATGGTGCTGGTGTTCCCCACTGGGGAGGGCCTGGGACCTGGCTGCCCTGAGGAGGTGAGTCACACCTGTGGCTGCTTGGTGCCCCAAGGCCCATGGTCACTGTCAGCATGTAAGGAGACAGAGGACAACAAACAGCCTTGCTCATGCAGAGGGTCATAGAGCAGACCCCCATGGGGGCCACCCAGGGAGATGCAGGGCAGGGGTTCCCCACCTTCACCTACTTGACATATTGGGTTGTGTCTTGGTAGAACTCAGTTTGATCAAAGGCTTGCACCTCTAAGAAATGTTGGAAGCGTGCTGATCTGGTCCTATTCCAGAGTCAAAAGCAAAGATGTAGAGGAATGAAGGGCATCGTGAGCAGGCTTGGAACCCAGGAGTCCTAGCTGGCGCCTGGACCCAAAAAGTCAGGCTGGCTTTTTGCTCTATCTTGTCTACTTCAGAAAAGCTTGTGTTAGTCTCGAGTGCAGAGGAAATCTCTCCATAAGTCTTAAAACTCTTTGGAGTCCAGATGTTGGAAAAGTCTCAGTGATGAGGCTCCTCAGCTCCTGGGGGCAGCCCTGCCTCCTGCACAACCTGGGCGTCTTGTCCCTGGAAGGGGAAGAAACAGGGGTAGATGTGCATGTATGTGGCGGGGTGGGTGTAGCCAGCCTGGACACTAAGGGAGACGTTTCTCAAGAAATGCCTTCCGTCACAAAGCCCGGGACATTTGGAGGCAAACTAATTGGTGAGCTTTCTTGATGGTGTTTGGTTCCATCCTCTGTCCTGCCCTCACCCACCCCCACCTGCCCTGCAGAGGGGGCTAGAATGGTGGCCAACTTGTCAAGGCAAGGCCTGAGCTTCAAGGGGTCCTGAGGCTAGGCTAGAAGCCTCTGGAGACTAGAGGAAGGATGGGAGACAGCCAGGGAATGGCCAGACACAACAGGGGCCCCAAAGCTGGGTGTGCAGCAACCAGCCAACTTTAGGGAGCTGAGCAGCCACCATTAGCAGCTGCCAAAGTTGTTAAGTGCACATCGTGTGTCCAACACTGTGTTCAGTGCTGCATGCACATCAACTCATGTGATATCCACCACGACAGTGTGAGGTTGACATGACTGTTAGCCCTGTTCATTTACCCAATACGCAATAGTTATGCACCCCCTGTGTGCCAGGCCAGGGCTAGGTGCTGGGGACGCAGCGGTGTACGAAAGACTCCGTCCCATCCCTCTTATAGTGCTCCGTCCACCAGACAGTCAGACAGGAATGGGCCACTCCAGACGTGGTGGGTAGGAGGGTAGTGGGGTGGGCTCTCAGCCAGGCTGGGGGTCAGGAAGGGCTTTGGAGCAGGAGATAGGAGGGGCGGGAGGAGAGCCTGGTAGTCAGGACTGTGCACCTGATCAGGGCAGCACTGAGGATCACCCCTGCCCACTCTTTTGGGTCATGAGACCCTGGGTCATGGCCCACCCAGGCTAGGCCTCTCCAGAACTGCCCATCTGGGAAGTCTGCACCCTTCTAGGGCCTTGTCTCCTGGATTAGCCCTCTGAGCAGTGAGAACATGGGGACCGGTGTGCCCTCCTGCCCCTCCGCCGTGGGAGGCACCGACAGCGTTTCAGGAGGGATGTGATTTGCTGATCCTACTCCAGTATGGGGTTCTGCCTGCGGCCTCAGGTGTCAGTCATCCTTGGTGCCAGAAGGAAGCCAGTTCTCTCGAGTAAACCTCTCGAGGCAGCAACGGAAAATGAACCTGTGTTTGTTCTGTCCTTCCCAGTGTGCCAGGAAACTGGCCTTTGGGGAGTCTCTTAATAAGAAGCCGGGGGGATCCTGCAGGCAAACATTTCTCAGCCCTGCAGAGCTCTGAGTCGTTGGTGCCTGGTCCCCAGGGCTTAGCTGGCAGTACAAAGGCAAAGATGGTTTACACGAGTGGGTGGAGGGAGGGTAAAAGCCAAGACTGCAGGGTCCACCTCAGCTGTGCCCCTCCAGCCTCTGATCTGGGCTAAGTCAGATCACAGCAGTGAGGACTGAGTAGCCAATATTTACCGAGCCCTTATCATGTGCCGGGCACTGTACTAGGAGCTTTGCGTGCATTTAATCTTCATGATAACCCGATTCCTAGACATTTACAGAGGGGAGGCTAAGGCAAGAGAGGTTCCCTAACCTGCCTGAGGTCACTCTGCTAGTGGAGCTGAGCTGAGACACAGACCCAGGCAGTCTGACTCAGTGCCCACTGAGGCGGTTTCTGCTCCTGCCCCAGGACTTTCTGGAAGCTGAGGCTGCGGCAGCTTTGGGAACCTGGGCTTTCGCACAAAATCATCACGCACAAAACCAGCGTCAAACTTTAGGGGGTATGTGGGCCGGGAGCACGTCTCCAAAGGGACATTGTTCTGGTAATGGGCGCAGCTTGTGGGTTCCCAGGAATGGGTCTGAATTCTGTGGCTCTGGGCAGCCCCTCTCTCTGTGGGCCACTCCTCCTCACCTCCCACCCCAGCTGCGGGGCAGGGTCAGCTACTGGGGATGCAATGGGGAGGCAGGCAAAGGGTCACCAGATGGTGCTTTCTGCCAGGAATCTCTCCAGAAGACGGGCTTTTCTTTTATTTGCTCCTCAAGAACCCTCTAGGCCAGAGGTAGAAAACTCAAAGACCATTGGGAGCAGGGAGGTGACATAATTGAGCAGCGGTGCCTGGAAAATGCACCCTCTTCCACTTTTCTTGACACCCACAGCCTTCCTAACCTACAGTTCATTTTTCTTCTTTTGATTTCAACATGGACTCAAAACATAGTTCCCTTTCCACGTCACTCTGCTGTTAGAAAAACAGCGGTTCAAGCACAGGTGTCAGCTCTGGCGTCTGGGAGGCGGTAGGAAATGGTGGGGACTGTTGCAATGCTGTCTATGCGGGTGGCTACAACTCCTCCAGCTGACTGTTGCCACATGGCCTGGATCTTCTGATTGTTAAGAGAAAGCAGAAAGCTAGATGTTTTGTGTAGGGTCTTTTAATTGGAAATTGTCAGATAATTTGATTAAAAACAAAATCAAACACAAACAAACAAATCAAACACAAACAAACACAGTCCACACTGTGTGGACTGGACAGTGTGGGGTGTGAGCTGGCTGCAAGCTGTGCTCCCTGCTGTGGGTCAGGCCCGCTGTGTGGGGTCACTGTGCTGACGTGGGCATTCTAGGCAGCCTCGAGCAAGGCTTGTGGGATTGCTCGGGGCTTGTGCTCAGGGCTTGTGCCTCTGGCTTCTCTGCTTTGGGACATTGACAGGTAGACTGGAGACCATGCCCAGGTGAAAACAAGGCTCATCTGGTTGAGGGACTTGCAAATAAAGAGCCAGCAAGTTGATCCTGGTTGTCTGTTAGTGGTGACCCATGGTTGAATATGTACAAAATACAGAACATTGAATGTAGAGGGAGAAAATGCACACTCACCCAAATATCACCACTGTATCACATTAATGTGTTTCTTTTTCCTTTTCTATATATATATGTGTGTATATACACACATATATATATACATTATGCACATACATATATATATAAATAGCTTAAAGATTTTAAGAGGTTGTACTCATGTTACATAGACAGTTTCATATCCTGTTTTTAACTCAACATTATAACAGAAACATTTTACATGTTATTAAAATAGCATATAAAATTATTTTAAATAGATGGATAATATTTTTAAAAGATATGCAATATTCCTTCAAGTATACACACACAGCCATGTTGAGAGGAACGATATAGCGTGGTAAGAATTCAGTTTCCGGAGTTAGACTACCTGCTTCTAATCTGACCTCCACAGGGGTCAAGAAACTTTGGACAACTCACCTAACGTGGCCAAGCCTCGGTTTACTCATCTGCG